ATTAGATGAGATGACTTGCTAAGGTCATAAATGCAATGGGAGAAGAAGTTAATGAACTTAACAAGAGGAAGAGTAAAGTTTGCATAGAATGATGGGTAACAAAAGCCTTCTCTTGCCAACTCTGTTGCTGTTTATCCTCCTTTCTCTAAATCTATTGTTTAAGCCACTACTTTTGTCACTTGAAAATAATGGGTCATATTCAATTCCTCTCTCACAGTTTTTACTTTATGAGAAAGCCTTATCTCCTCAACACACTCCCCCCTCCCAACAATAAGAACAGGTCCAGGCACTGAGTAGGTCAGTAATACTTAATTGTAGAATTGAATTGATCTGAATAAATTAACGGAGGTATTCAAGATTTGCCTGATGAATCTAAGTTCTCAGAAGCAACGAAATGTTAAGATCCTAAAGAGAGAGAAATAAACTCAATACTATTCAGTCAACCAAGCGTTTACTAAGTACCTGCCATTAATATATTTTGAATAAAGCTGAAATCAGATTAGGTTAAAAGAAATGAGAATGTCCTTCATCTGTTCAGTACAGTATGAGACTTTTCACTGATGATACTAAAATGATTAATATCTTACTGTTCTATGACATTTTCTGTTCACAAAAGATTAGGGTCCTGGGTGATCCTAATTGAATGGGACCTTTGAGGTCATCTAGGCCCACCCATTGTCTCCCACTACAAATTCCCACAGGGATTTGGAGAGGATAGAGTCATACCTGATTCCAGTTTCCTTTAAATAAGAACAGTCCCAGAACCTTACCAACCAATATGCTTTACCAGTTCCTTGCTGGCACAACCTCCCTTCTATTTCCTGGTTTAATAAACATCTAATTAATGATGTGGTTCTTGCTTTGCCCTTTCACCCCTCTACCTTAATTCCCTAAGTTGCTCACTCCTCTTGCCCTATGTTAAAAAGTGTTAGGGGCAGGCCTGACTCAGGCCCTTGATAACCAAGTAACAACAGATTTATTTGGTCAGAGCAGAGAAAGACTATTCAATAAGGCTATTCAAGCACGTAGCTTATTTAGATTTTCCCCACCTCACCCTTATTTTACATAGGATAGAAAGGGGTCCAGTCAGCCAAGTAAGGTAGAATAACTTTAACATATCTACCATGGCTTAAAGTCCCTGACTAAGGATGTATGTCTTTTAATGCTCTTCAGTGACCATAAAGCCACATCAGTATGGCCAGAGGCTATCAGAAAACTTCAATGCACTTTGAGCCTTGGCTAATCAACTTGCAGTATAATTTTGTCATCTTTTAGGGAAAAACTAGTTTCATCCATATTAGGGTTGTGGGGGACCCCTGCCAAAAAAGGGATTTACTGCTAATGAGTACTGACAAAAGCTGTGTGGTGGGGAGATACTAACATAAAAACCACAAAGTTTATATATTATGATGGTTTTTCTGTTTCTGTCCTCCCTAATAGTAAACTACAAGGAACTTGGCCTTGATCTTTCTCAGTTGCCTACTCCTTTCTGAATGACACACTTCTGCCAGGTTTCATTTGTATTAGAGCCAAGTTATATCACTGAACTGGAAACTCAGCAATTGCCTCACCAAGTCTGTTTTTTCCCCCATTTGGTTAAACCACCAAATCCAGTTATACTTATGAAGAGGCTTTGTTGGTCTGTAGGCTTGCCTGTGGTAGGTAACAGAACCCTACTTTCTTATTCCCAGGTGGCTACTCTCAGTCACCCCTCTGTGTCACCCCTCCCCCATGGACCTCCTCCAACCCCAACCCTAATAGGATCATCAGCTGTCCTGGCCACCGCTGGCCATATCAGTCCCCATCTCTTAAATGGTTTTGAATGAATTCCAAATAAAGGCTCCTCTTAAAAGACCTAGAAAATACCACTTGGTGGCTCAGATCAGTGTCAGCCTTCAATGCCCTTGACCTTGTTCTGTTCAACTGTTCTGATCTGTAATTTGGATAATGACATCAAGATGTGACCTTGTGTATTTCCTCCTCTTCTTGTTTCTAGTTACTCTTTCTCATCATTAATGTTAGCACTTTCTCGCTGGGGCTGGAAAGGCCCCTGTGGCTAACAGGCAAGAGATTTAATGCACTGACTACTCCAGTCTCCAGAGGAAGTTTCCAATTACACATTCTCACTAGAGATTAAGCATCTCAATGTGGTTTCATTCCCCATCTTCTCAGTGTAATCTTCCTAGCTATTCAGTAAGCCTGTATCTTCCCACTGTTTTGGGGCATAGAGCTTGGTTATTGAAGATTATTTAATAGTAAATATTTAGGGACAAGGAGAAGAAGGAGATAATTCTGTTAACAAAAATCCCTTTAGAATTTTAAAAGGTCCTTGGGAATATTGATGGGAATGCATTCGATAAAATATTCATTTAATTAAATTTTAAGTGATTCCATTGTTTACTTTTTGGCTAACATTTATATAGCTGGCAGGAACAGAATTCTGATCATTCTTAAGGTATTCATGCCTTTATATTTGGCATCTTCTTATATCAGATTATCAGAAATATATTCAAAACTTCAAATGTGAATAATGATTACAAACAAACAGAAAAGTACAGTCCTCCTCCACTTCCTAGGAGGAACCCATTGAGGTCAGAGTCCTTATTTAATATCTTTCTATCAGGCTGGTTTTACAAGTTCCTAGAGAGAGTACTCCCAGTACTGTCCTTGAAAGGTTCTCCTATCACCTCCTGTCTCAAATGATTGTCCTAATTTATTAGCCTTTCATTCATAGCCACCTTGGTGTGACCTCACCCTAACTCTCTAATCTTTTCTATTCTTATCCATTACACTACCTGTCCTTCATTCCAGCTGATCTATTCAGAGTCCCCTGAACATATATGATCATAGGCTTTAGAGCAAGAAGAGCTCTTAGACGTCTAGTCCAATCCCTGTGTATTACAAATTAGGATCACAGGAGCAGAAATCTAAAGCTGAAGTGACCTCTGATATCATCTATCCAACTGTGACATTTAACGGAGGAGTCAAATGAAGACAAGAAGATTTGAACTACTGGCTTCTAAGCACATAGGAAATAAAGAGCAGACCAGAGATTCAGACTCAGTTCCCTCTTTATGTTAACTTGTGATTTTCTGTCCTCATTCCTATGCTAACAGCATCACCCACAGGAAAAGGAACATGCCTTCCTTCCACCTCTTTTCCTCCCTAGACTAGAGTTTAAGAGGAAGTAGACACTTTCTTTAATGCTCATCTTTTCCATGAGACCTTCCATGGCAATTCCAGATCAGAGATTTCTCCTTTCTCTAAAACTCCAACATAAGAATTATAGATTTTAATATCAACTCTTTGAATACTTATTGTAAAATATGATGTATCTTATGCTGTTATACTTTTTCTTAACTTTATATGTGTTAAATTAGGTACAGTACATGATTGCATATATATAACCTATATCTGATTGTTTACCCTCTCAGGGAGGAGGGGGAGTGGAGACAGGGATAGAATTTAAAACTCAAAACTTTTTTAAAAATATGTTTTGAAATTGTGTTAATTGTATTAATTGTGTTTAAAAATAAAATAGTACATATTAAAATACACAAATATATATATATAATATATATGTATATTTCATCTCAACTGATATATAATAGATGCTTAATTAGTGTTCACTGAATGTAAAGTGATTGAATGAATCATATCCTGGGAGAAATACTACCAAGTGAGTCAGTGACTCTTTGGGGAGGCCCAGCAGTATTGAAATACTCTCTCAGGAAATGTGGGACCCTTGTTGAACCCCTTCCTGCAGTATTTCCTTAAGGGAGGAAAGATAGGGGGATTTTTTCAAAGTTAACACAGAAGCTATTTTTTTCTATTCATTCATTTTATCTATGTAATTATTCATCTGGCTTTCTGAATGTGCCGCATCCTGGATTATGATCCAGAAAACTCAATTTAATTTCTCATTTGTCTCTTAATTGAACACTATGACCAGAATACTGTTGTAGGCACCTGCAGAGTAATGAACTTTAGATAAGGCAGGGTTCCTTTCCTCATGGAGCTTATAATCTATTATAGAAATGAGACACAAACACAAATAGCCGTAAGACAATAATATGTAAGTATATTAAAGGTACAAAAAACAAAATGTGCTCTAATTTATTCAGACAGATTTCCCCATCAATGAGGTTAATTGAATCAGACAGTAGTGGTGGTGGTGTAGTAGTAGTAGTAGTAGTAGTAGTAGTAGTAGCCCCCTTTGATGGCAGAGAACTGAGCCCGATGTGTCCTTATTGACTGTTGTCCTCCCAGCTCTCTAGAGCTGACTCATAATCTCCAACCCCCACAGTTAACACTTGCTGATCCACAAGCTCTATTTCTATAAACTTCTATCATTTTGACACTTACTTGAATGACCAGGAAAATTCCAAAAGGGAATATTTTAAGGTGATTCCAAAAGTGAGGCAAGATTTCTCATTGGGTTTGATAAGGCAAGAGATTCCACAACCCAGGATTTAGGCAGGAGGATCTCTTAATTGGCTTATGGATTGGCAAATGGATTAGAGCTCTATCAGCTTTATGTAGCAAAGTGAGATTCCTCCTTACACATCAAGATTAGACCATAACTTGCATAATGCCAGCATCCAAATCTTTTCTGACCTGTTTATGGCCCCCGGTCCTTTATCAGAGTGCTCTGTTTACAAGAATCACTTAATAAATGTTGAAAAGTATTATTTCAATCAATAATGAGTAAATGAATGAATGAAACAAACCTGTTTAGTATCTGTGCCTGAGGCATAAATATGAGCACAGATTTGAAGTTCAAATACTTAGCTGTCTCCTGGGGTTAGAAGGAAGAGATGTCTAAACAGATTCCTTGACCTCATCCCCACCTGTTCTGCATTCTTAGTCAGCATCACCATTTACTTTAGTTGTACTCCAGGCAACCACAATGGCAACTCAGAGCTTAAATCCAAATTCACTGTTTATAAAAGATTTGACCCTGACCTTGACCATGATTTTCTTTTCTGTTTCTCCTGCAGAAGTAGTTCATCTGAGTCTTCCTGAGGAGCAGAGGATCATTGTTACTACAGTGACCGTTGGGCTCAGCACAGTATTAACTTGTGGCATCCAAGGGGCCCTCAGACCACCCATCATCTGGGAGCGCAATGGAATCACCCTAAACTTCTTAGATTTGGAAGATATCAATGTAAGTCTTCAGTTTCTTTTTTCAAAAATTAACAAGTTAAGTTCTGCCTCCAAAATCTTTTTTTCAGTGTGCTGTGCCTCCTGGCAAATATATTGGATAGAGTTGGCATTAGCTAATTATATATTTTCCAGACAGAAGCAGAAACTTCGTGTGTTCAGAATAAATGGAACTAGAGGTTGAGGTTGAATGCTAGATTGCAGAGAGCCCTGAATGATGATCTACCAAGACATTTGGTGTGGTAAGCAGCAGAAGGAATCGGTGGTGGTTTTTGAGACAGGGAGTAACATTATACAGCTTAAAAAAAATTGACATAATCTTTTTTTAATATCCTCGTACTTTTATTCTAATAAGAAATTTCTAGTGAAGAAATTCACTCTACTTAAGCAGAGCAGCACTTTTTTCTACAATTTATTGTCTGGGAGAGCTACCTGGTACATTGACAGGTTAAATGTCTTGCCCCAGGGTCGCAAAAGTAATATGTGTTAAATTCAGGATTTGATTTCGGTGCTCCCAGGCCACCTTTCTGTCCAGTATGCTATGCTCCCTCTCTGAGTCAGTAGTAGAGTGAATTAATACTTGTCTAATTACCTAAATAGGCAGCTAGGTGGCTCAGAGGATAAAGAGCCAGATCTGCTATCGGGAAGACTCATTTTCCTGAGTTCAAATCTGGTCTTAGACATTTATTAGCTTTGTGACTCTGGGCAAGTCACTTAACCCTGTTTGCCTCAATTTCCTCATCTGTCAAATGAATTGGAGAAAGAAATGGCCAATCACTCCAGTATCTTTGCCAAGAAAATCCCAAATGGGGTCACAAAGAGTTGCACATGAGTAAAAACAACTGAATAAATGACCCCAACACAAGAAATAATGGTCTATACAGTTGAGACCACATCTGAAATATCATGTTCAATGCCAGCCAGTTGTCATGTTTTAAAGAGGAAATTTATGAGAGGCAGGACAGCATAATGGCTAGAAAGTTGGCCTTGGGACCCCCCCAAGACACATATTGAAGTCCCCACCTTTGATAATTAATGCTTCTGTAACCTCAGTGCTCTATATTGCTCTCTAAGAATAGAATTTGCAGAGAAGATTCTGACCTTCCCTGATCAAGGAAGCTCTTCCCTGAGAGCTCCGTCTACCAGTAAAATCCTAGGTCTGTCAGGATGGCCACTTATTGAGCATGTTGTAGCAGGGAGTCCTGTCTAAATATTCTTATATGTTCTTTGAAGTCTTTTCTAATCATTATAACTCTGGGTCAGTGATGGATGTTGGATTATAGGACCATAGATTTTAATGGAAAAGACCTTAAAAGTCTAACACTGTCCCTTAACACGAAGAAACCTAAACCAAGAGAGGGAATGTGAACGGGTAGTGGTAGAGCAAAGTTGAAACATAGGATTACAGATCTGCCAAATCCATTGGGGGTTTTTTGGGGTTTTTTTTTTCTTTTTAGGCATTTAAGGTTAAGTGAGTTGCACAGGATCAGACAGCTAGTAAGTATCTGAGGCCGCATTTGAATTCAGATCTTCTTGACTCCAGAGCCAGCTAGCTGCCCCCAAATCCATTGTTTTTAAAAAGAACAACAGTTAATGGCTTTGTGCTCATTTTTATTTTGTTTTAATTTTCTTAAAGGAAGACTGAGAGTCAGTATGGAGTAGTGGATAAAAAGCCACTAGTCTTAGAGTCAGAAAGTACTGAATTCAAGTCCTGCCCAAGTAAATTGCTTAATCTCTTAAGACCATAAATTGCAGGAGAACTATCTCTCTACATTGCTAGTGTTTCCTCACCAGGAGTTCCCACTAATCCACAGATAAGCATAAAATCTATGAGTTTAACTCATGTTCAATGCTAGAATTATTTTGAATGAATGTTGGCTCAATCAGGAGGCACTAGTGTTTTGAAATGTTATTGCTGTTGATTCTAAAGTCAAGTAGAACTATAATTATTGTCATTATAATTCCAATTTCTATAGAGTTTTAGATTTTATACAACTTTCCTCAATATGGCTTTGTGAGGTAGGTAGTAAGAGTGTTTCTATGCCTGTTTTTCCAATATGGAAACTGAGGTTTGGTGAGGTCAAGTGACTTGCCTAGAGTCAACCAGGAAAAATGGATCTAAGAGCCAAAGTCTGACTCTAAAACCAGCACTTTTTAAGATCAAGATTGGAAGCCTGGGGTGGAAGAGGCATGCCCCCTCTGTATTTGAGAGGTTAAATGTCTTGCCCAGGGTTTGGGAGCAATTTTCCCTTTCTTGAAATACCTCAAAACCAGGTAGTATTTTTTCAATAGGATGTCTGTGTTTTATATAATCTCTGATACTATCTTCTTACCTTTACTGTGACAATAATCTTCAGAGCAAGAGGTATGAGGTATTCACTCAATAACTATAATGAATTTTCATTATTCATAAGCAACATTTACCAGCAATGTACATAGTACTGCACATCATTATTCTGAAGGTGTCTTTGAAGATGTCATTCAGTGTAGCACATAATATCACTTGGTATTCCATAGAAGGCTTCTGTGGAGGAAGAGCTTGAACTGGGCACATGAAAGTGTGGACACCAGGGGTTTTCTGAGGTGACAGCTAAATATCTCCTTCAACTGAGAGGGAAAAATAAATTGTAAGCAAAGTGAAGGAGCAAATCCAGGAATTGAAATCACAGGAGGAGATAAGGAAATCTTGGGCCAGTCACAGACATCTGAGCAACAGGAGAAGGAAGGAACAGAAGTCCAGAATCACCACAGTTCCACACACATTCCATGTGGCCACATGTTTAGTACTGCATAAGAAAATTACAGGGCATCCCTGCTGATGAAAATCCATTACAAAATGGCACATAAATTCAGTTTCATTCAACAAACACATATTAAGTGCCTACTTCATGCAAGACAGCCAACCAGTTTATGATTCAACTGATATTTGTTAAGCCCCAATTAAGCTTCATTGGCTCAGATTGGATTGGCTTAGATAGGCATCTACCATAGGGAAGCCAATGGAATAATGTATGGTCCCAGCACTCAGTTTACATAGCAATGTTGGGGAAATTATAAGGACACACTGAAATCATTTGTTATTGTTATTATTACTATTATTATTATTATTATTAGATGGCAAAGGATGGCCCGAGCAGTGAGGCATAATGGTTAGGGAGCTGTCCTTGAATTCAAGCAGATCAGTACCAGCTCTATCATGTAATAGGCAAATCAGTGACCTAGACAATTCCCTGAGACTTTAACTTTCAAAGAACCTTCCTACCTGCATCATTCAAGAGTATTGACTCATCCTAGAGTTCTCTATATCAGCCAAAACATAGATCCAGTTTCTACTCCATGGTCCAGACAGATAGTAAGAGCTATAAAAGCTCTGAGAAGTGTGCTAAGCTTATCCTTGAGGGCTTCATGAAGAAAATGTAACATCAATTTGGCCTTGACGATTGGGTTGGATTTAGATGGGTCAGAAAGTGAAGGAGAGTCACTCAGAGGAGTGACAAGAAGAACACACAGACCCAAGTCCTATTTTAGGATTGGTATGGCAGGGACTTGATTGGAACAGATATTTTGTATTGGCAGAATCAGGCAGCTACATAGAATCAGTTCAAATTGAAGAAGGCCCTTAAGATGCCATGCTGAAGAGTTTGTACTTTGTCCAGAGAGTTATTCAAAGTTCTTGAGTAGGGTTATGACCCTAAATGAGTTGGGCTGTAGGAAAATGCCTCTCACTTTAAGAAGGAACAGGGAGAGTAAGTTTGACCCCATATAAGGAACAATCCAATTCCACTAACAAAAGTATTCAAAGTACTGAGGACCCTTTATTGCTAGGTATTAGGTAGGAAATCAGGGGGAGAGAAGGTTGACGTAGCCCAGTGTTATTCAACTGAAACAAACTCAGCAGACCACGGTTGCGACTCATACAGTAACAAGGAGCGCAGGACCATGGACTCAGAGCTTGGATTGACCTTAAAAGTAGTCTAGATAAGCCTTCTCAAGTTGCTGACAAAGTGACAGAGACCCAGAGACATTAAATGATTTGTCCACAGTCGCATACCTAGTAAGTAGCAGAATCTAGACTTGATCTTATGTCCTCTTATTTGAAATCCAGGACTTTTCCTATCCTGCCACAGAGACTTGTTAACACCTGTGCTTTACTGTCATGTTCTGTCTCAGCTTCAGATAAACACATTCATCTAAGAAAGTACAAAATTGGAAATGAAAGAAGATCCTCTATGTTGTCATTTGAAGCTGAAAACTGGGTGGGGGAAGGAGGAGACAGGATTTATGACAAAAAGCAAGGTAGAAAAATGAAGATGATGGTTTGACGTATCCACCTCCTTTCTTTATCATTTTTATGAGACGTCTTGATTGGCAACAAAATATTAATCACTTTTCACTGCTCTTTTAATGGGAAGCTTTCATGAACAACACAATAGTAATTTGTCTTGTCTGATGTTAAGAATCCCATTGATGAATTCAGTTACACAGCCATTATAGAATGCCATTTTAATGACACATGTAATTAAACCTTTCTGATTTTCAAACATGGAGGATGCCGTGAGCACCAGAACAGTATTTGATCAGAAAGTAATGAAACGCCCCCGCCCCAGCCTGGAGCCAAATTGAAAGGCACTGCATGAACTTCCTTAGGAAGAAGACATTACTGTCAAGAAGCATTTATTGTTTCCTGCCTTGAGCTAAGTGCCATGCCAAGGGCCTGGCCAAGAAACCTAACTGAGTCAGAATGTTAAGGGGCCTCTCCTTGAAGATTTCATTAGAGGCTCAACAAAATTACATAAATTACCACAAAAAGTATAAAATATCTTGCATGTGCCAATGTTAGGAGAGACTTCAGAGCTGTAGCAACCCAGATGGAATGTGGACAATTTAACTATACCCTCAGAGCATCTTTCTTATGCCTTTTCCTATTGGTAATTTGGTAGAGAATTCTCAGCTCCTTGGAGAAACACATGCTTAGACTTCGGCTCAATTTTTCTAGTGCACTCC